CATCACACTATTCCATGACCTGGAATGAAGAAACTTCATAGCAGCTCCTGCTGTGTTACTACTTCACAATAACAATGTGTGACCACAAGGCCGTTATAAAAAATCCAACATGTCAAAGGAGATGCAACAGGAGTCAGTAGTGTGTACTTCTCAGATGTTGGAGAAACATAGAAAAGGGCAGTGTGGTCCATACCAAGAATGAGTTTGACAGTCTCACCTGACACTGCATCATGGGGAGGAACTTCAGTAGTACCGTGACACAAGTACTTCATTCTACTTCTACCTGGGCCAGTGGTCATTCTTCCGTTCAATCTTGGTAAAAGCATGGACTGTGCCACACACTCAATGATCCACCCAAAACAAGGACTGTAGCCTAAATTCCAAACACCAGACACTGAAATTTTTAGCCTTGTTAAGTGAACACCTCCATCTTTGAACTTTCATTGTGCCATTTTATACAGGGTATTAACTGTACTAGTTTGTTGCAGTTATAAAATAATTAGTGAAAACACTTTACATTTGTATTTATTTCCTATTCCATACTTTTCCCCACTTCAAGTGGTTTCTTTCCAAAAATCCATTCCTTTAAAAAATACAATCCGTTGGAGGAAACAAACAAACAAACAAAAACACTTGACAGTGAATGCAAAGAAATAACACAAAAAAGTTTAGCTAAAGATGTCCTATATACATATATATATAATATTTTATTTTAAAATGCCATTGAGCATATACATTTCTTTAGCTTTTTCCATGGAACATTGCACCTAAGTTTCAAAACACAAAATAGATCCCCTTTACTAAACAGTTTTCAATTTTGGGTTACAAAAGTCAATGTTTCACAATCACAAAGCATGAAAGTACACGGTTCTGAAACCATTTTTTCAGGCAGAATCTCTCATTCACTGTATGCAGGATATTTCTGGAAACCCAGACTACGGTACAATCCTTACAAATGGTCTCCACTGTGGGCCTCCCTGGGTCTCCAGAAGAAACAAAAGAAAATAGGGGTGAAAGGATAACCTCAGGACTTCCTACACAAACACAAAATACTCCTGGAAGATTGGGAGGGTAGAGGACACAAGGCTTTCCTCCTTCAAGTACATCACAGTAGAAAACGACAGCACATTCACAGCCTCATTTGGTCACTGTCTACCTGGCTGCTACATGAACACAATTCCACCTAAGACGCAGAGGGGAAAAAAAAATTAAAGCTATTTACACAGATAATATCATAGATTGAGTGCCCCAGACTGGCACTCAAACCTGACACAGAGCCATGGTGCGCACAGAAGAGGAAAATCAGTTGCTCACCTAGTGTCCTCTGAAACAACCCAGCGTACATACATATGCGAGAATACCACATTAAACCAAAGTTGCTCAGAGAGGCGGGCTGTGACTCAAAAATCTAACCCCCCAAAATTCAAGTTCCTAACAAAAAATTAATCTATTATGTGGCCAAAGACGATTTTATTATTTTCTTTCATCTGGTAACTTTTATGGTCAGCCTGGCTGTTCTTTGCATAGACTATGACTCTCACACTGCTCTCTCCAAGTATCCTAGAAGCATTAACTTACTGAAAATAGAATCTCATAAAAGCTTAACATATTCACCCTGAAAACAGTGGAGCTCCTGGATCACTTAAGGAAAGGTTAGACCCTCATTCTGTGGTGGAAAGAAAACCACTGACTACTTGTAGCCTTATAAATAAGCTGACTGGCAGAAGAGGAAGGAAGTGAAATCAAGAGGGGAATCAGAATTTCTAAAGATGTAGGAGACTGTTTCCTGGAGCATTTCCATTCTAGTGCTTTGGGTCAACCAAAAACCCTGCCTGCATGGCCAAGATCTGAGGCCAAATTGGAGTGCTAGGACTCTCATTCCTGCCCACCAATATGTATCTATATTTGTAATTCTTCCCAAGAAGTAAATGAATACTTAGAGAGAAGAAAAAGAAGAGTGTGGGAAAAGCTGACTTCACTCAGCTCTATGGAGGTATGTTGCTAGGAATTAAAAAATTAAATACCTCCAAGCCCTCCAAAGCAGTAATACTGTGGAAAATAACAGAAATTCCCATTTTTAGAGGCTTTGTCATATTAGACAGTTGAGTATTTGGCCTAGCTTGTTTTCCCTGCCTGTCCACCCCCAAAAACAGCAGGTAGGTACACAAAGTCACACAGAATATACTCCCTTCCTCTCTGACTGCTGACCCTGCTCTGATTTCATATGTTATAAAGAACAAAGCTTTGGTTGCAGAGTGTAGCAGGCATGGAAAAATGTTCTCTTTAAGGAAAAGTGTATCACCAAGTCTAAAGAACAAGGATAGTTCAACAAAGAGATTTACAACTGAAAGAACCTTTCATTAAAGTAAGTGGCCACACACCCCAAGGCAACCATAAAGCCTTGACTAGGAAGCGAGAAGCTTTTTCTTCAACAAAATTCTCCTCTGAGGCTATTAGGGCAAGCAGATTTGGCTATACTTCAGATACACAAGATTTCAGAACCATGTATAAATATCTTTTGCAGAATTCTGAGTGTGCTGCCTTTTGACCCTTCCAGGAATGCCCCAAGGGTCAATTGGTTATGTAGACACGGTTACTGCTCTGGGATGGGTGACTTGGAGCCTGGGTGAAAAATAAGGCCAACACAGAGGAAGCTCAATTCACAGATCAATATCAGTGCTGGGCAGAACCGCTGTGGGCATTAACAAATTATTTTTTTCCACTTCTGACTTACTTGCCTCATTTGCAGTCTTCCTTCCAGACCCCAAGCAGACAAGGCTTGAGCATGGTACTAAGATCTTTCCATCCAAGGGATCTTACTTTCCTATTGCTTATTGAGAAAAATTTCTGGGCACATTTCTAACTAAACCCAGTAGGACTAAATGTTCAAGATTTAAGGTAAATTGAGTTCCAGAGTTTTGTCTGAGGGATGCCTTAGTGGTAGACAAATTGGTGAACTGATTAGATGGTTGTCATGACAGCTATATGGTATCTGCACTCAAACTGACTCTAGTAGAGTCAGCCAAAGTCTGACATGAATAAAACCAGAGAAGCTCAAGATAGGGCCCAGATACAGGTCCAGGAAGGCAAATAAATGAAGGGCAATGGAAACACAGGGAACAGGTGACGGCTTGTAATTGCAGCCTCCTGAAGAAGGTGGCCCAGGTCCTCCACAGAAGACTTTCTCCAACATTTTGTCAAATACCTGGTGCGGTGAGTTCCCATAGCACTTCACATGCTTAAAAGGCTACCATTTCCATACTGTGGAATGAATTCATTCCTGAGTAGGAAGGCTTTTAGGCCTTTCCTAAGAAAATATCTACAATTCTAGGAATACAGACTCTTAAGGAAAGGTTACCTCTGGGGAAGGAATTCCAACAAACATGAGAATTAGAATCGGCTCTCTAGCAGTGTTTGAGATCACACCAATTACCGCTTTCCTTACTGAGTTGGAAGAATGTTTTAATTACACAAAGCTGTCAAAATGGTGATGACACCACAGTAGGTCTGCAGGAAGAAAAGCTGGTAATTGGATATTGCTCTACAAGTTCCCCCAATGCAGAGCAGAGCAGCAGTCTGCCCAAAAGATAGAGGTGATTTCTAAATATCTATTTTGTGATTCCCCCTGGCAGAGAAACAGGAGGTAGTTATGGTGCCCACTGTTTATGCAGCTGCTGTTGCTTCACTTGTAAGGATCACTTGGAGGAGAAGCTACAGAGAGAATTGGGGTCTTGGTTCTTGGGTCACAAGGACATCATGCCCTGCAGAAGGAACAGGAAGTATAGTATGAGAATGACTGATCAACCCAATTCAAATTCCCTTTTATCAAAGGGCCATCCTGAGTAGGTCTTATATTTAGATGATGGGGAAAGTGGAAATGCTGTTTCTTGACATCTCTTTCATGTCTTCACTTGTCTGGAGTGGGCTTGGGGACAGTTAAGGCCCACAACACCTGCATCCAGAATGGAGGAATGGTTCTCAAATGAAGTATGAGGAACTGACTGACACTGGAACTTCCTATATCTTTGCTGTATTAAATGCTTCTTGACATGTGCCCCATGATACAGCAGGTGGGGGAGGGCCAACCGGTCCAGAAATGAAAACTCAGACTCTCACAGAGAAACCTCAAGCCACAACAAGGGGAACTGTAGAAGACAAAAGAGGAACTGTTGGTCCAAAGAAACATCCATATTTTCACAAAAACACACTGATTTGGTAAGAAAATGTAACTCAGGGACAAATTCAGTTATACAACAAAGACAGCACTCTGTTATGCAGGGCACCGCTCCAGATGGCTGCCTGGGTGGTGTTGGGTAGAGGCTCTGGGGACAGCCTGGGTTGGGCTTTGACACACAAATTCCTCAGCAAGGAGTTGGAAATTCCCAGGCCTGTTTCATGGAAGAGAAAAAGTAAAGATTCAAGGAATGTCAAAAGAGGAAAAATCCCTGCCTCACCTCACCATCACAACAAGAGAGAAACAGACAGGGAGACAGGGAGACAGGGAAAGGTGTTCCCTGAAATAAACTCTCGGGCTTACTAGAAGGTGGAAGCTTACAGTTTCTGAGGCAAAATCCCCAACTTTCCAACGCAGCACTTTCAACCCGTAGAGAAGTCGGCAGCTTGACCGGCTGAAGAGTCTTCTGCCAGTTATACCTGAAAATGGCTGCCTCAGCTATTCTAGAGAAAATAAATATGTTGTATGTGTCCAAAATAGGCAGAAGGCCTACTAAGAGGCCTATAAAAGGAACCAACACACAGTAGCAGCCTTTGTGTTTTGCTCTTGTTGAGTATCCAGACCTGTTACTAAAGAGGAAACTGAAACCTAAGGGTCATCTGGAAGCATAACCAGAGGCCTTTTGGCGGCAAACTCCCCACCCATCCAGTCTGGGCTGGGAAGAGATTGCATCACCTGGAACTCTGCCTGGGCACTTCTCAATCCTGCCCCACAAGAGGCATCCCAGCTTTCTTCCCCTTAGTCCTCCCAACCCCCTAGGTTGTTTTCATGACAGTTTGTTTCCATGTATTAAAGGAATGACATATACAGAAATGTCGTCCCCTGAGCCCAGTCGGTCATTAGATATTCGCCATCCTCTGTCCTTCAGGACACCTCGGGCACGCATCACCAGGTCCTGAGCTGCCAGTGTGTACCTGTGTAGGGAGAAGCAGGAATACGACAATCAGTAACTGTATCAGCAGAATCAGGGGCAGGCCTGACTGGGAAGGAAGAGGCATCATCACTACAGCTGTGCAAACAGTTTTCAAATGTCCTCAAAGTCCCAAAAAGCCTACGTCATTTTTCTGTAAAGTACGGGACACCTAATGTGAGATTATCTTTTAGCTGGTAGATGGACAAGGCATTAAATATATTAAATAAACTTCTAAGTTATTCTGCTTTTGATGTTGTTGATAATGTCCATGATAATGTCTCAGTTTGGTTCTAGTATATCTTCGGCAAAGATATGCTCAGGCTCTCAGCCTTTCATGACAAACAGTATCTAGGACATTTGATTGCTAACCAGAAGGCTGGCAGTTCAAACCCACCTGCCATTCCTTGGAAGGAAGATTAGGCAATCTACCTCCATAGAGAAATCACCTCGGAAACCCAAGGAAGGGTTGCTATGAGTTGGGATTGACTCAATGGCAGTAAGTTTTTTTTTCTGGGGGGGGGGGCAAAATAAGAACTTTTCAATATATTTATTTTTAGGGCTACATTCTTTTTTTTTTTTTTTTAATTTATTTTAAGAGCTTGTTTTACATTCAATGTAACGTGTACATTTAGTTTCATTCCCCAATCTCCATGTCCAACCATAACCCAGCCTCCTCCCCTCCCTAGCCTACCCTCCTCCCCTGTGCCCCTCATATTTATGCACTTTTGTTTGTTCTGCATTTCCTCAATTTGAATGTTGGTCCTCTAGTGTCCCATGGTCTATTGCTCTAAGGGATGTATTGGTCCTGTGTTGAGTGGTCTGCGTGTACATCTTGCTAACTACTGGGCTGAGAGCCAGCCCCTGGGGTGAGTTTTATTCCAGGTGCAGAATGTATTCCAGGGCCATAGTATTGGGGGTCTCATCAGACTCCATCTGACCAGTAATTCTGGTCATTATTGAGTTTTTGGATTTTGTTCCACGTTTTTCCTCCCTCTCTATCCAGGATCCCCAGATTTGATCCTTTCCTGAGTGGTTGGCATTGGTAGCTGGGCACCATCTAGTTCTTTTGGTCTCGAGGGCCATTGTGTCCTAGGGCTGATTGCTTCTAAATGCCCTTGTGGTTTTTTTTTTGCCTTGTTCTTCACTTCCAATGCCAGGAGACCATTCGCTGCATCTTAGATGGCCGATTGAAAGCTTTTTAAGACCCTAGTCACTACTCACCAATGTAGGATGTGGAGCAATGCTTTTATGTATTTTGTTGTGCCAATTGAGTCTGGTGTCCCCCAGTACTATGGTCCTGAGGTAGTAGATCTATTGGATCTCTCTCCCATAGTGTCGGGATGTCTGTGAGGTATTACTCTGTGTCTGTCTTCTATTGTTTCTGTAAGGACTGCAGGTATTTTGTATCACTGGTGTCTTAGCCTCAGCTGAATCTATCCTTGGTCTAGAGTATACTTCTGTTCACTGACCCCCGTCTGTCTTTTTCTATTTATAATAGATAGATAGATCAATCAATAGATACATAGCTGTCTGCCAGTCAACTCTGACTTTATGTACAACAGACTGAAACATGGCATGATTCTGTGCTGTCCTCAAAGTTGCTGGCATGTTTGAGCCCACTGTTTTGGTGATTGTGCCAATCCATTTAATCAAGGGACTCACTCAATTTTGTAGGCCCTCTATTTCACCAAACATGATGTCCTTCCCTAGTGAATGACCCCTTCTGATGATGTGTCCAAAGCAAGTGAGTCAGATAATGCTTTATTATGGTTTAATTGGATAATTTTTAGAAGTAGAATGCCAAGCTTTCTTAGTTTGGAAGCTCCACTGATACCTGTCACCCATGGATGATCCTATTGGTATTTGAAATACTAGCAACGTAGCTTTCAGCATCATAGCAATATGCAAGCCACCACAGCATGAAAAAGTCACTAGGGATATACAAATCTCCTTTTAAAATAAATTTGTTTTAAAACATGAGTTGATTTAAAGAAGAAAATATTAATAATGGTACTCATGGCACTAGAGTATAGTAAAAATAAGAAAGTAGTATAAGCAGGGTGCTCCACCCAACCCTTAACAATGCCGTCCTCTCCCCTTGACCAATGTAAGTATAGTGAGGGATCCCCCAAGAACCTGAAAAGAAGAGTGCTCATTGAGATTTAAACTGTAAACATACAAAAAAGGCATGGCACCCACAACTCTGAGACTAGGCTATAACCTGATGGAAAATATTAGCATCTAGAGAAAGATGTTGATTCTTGGGGATGGTTTGGGTAGACACGGGCCTGGGTTAGTCAAGATCCATAAAAAAGAGACAAAACATTGCCAAATGTCTATCCAAATCCTCATCAGGACACAGAGAGTTCTTAGAAACTTAGTTCCATATTTGGAACTTGTTCCAAGGCCATATTTGGTATGAGATGGCTTACTCTCTTAGCCTATGCCATTAAACTTATGATTGGTCTTTATTCTGATTTCATGTTCACCAAATAACTTTCTGACTATGATCTGCCTCCCACCAGGAAAGAATGAGCTAGTCATTTATACTTTAAGAACAGCAGTCAGTTATATTTCTCTATAAATGTCAACTAGCATTTACAAATCAACCTTGTGAGATTAGTTAAGGTGAATCTAGCTCTGATAATGAATCTATTCTCTGTATGTTGATTAAACCAGTTTCTGAAACTGAGAAGCTAAGAGCCAGACTCTGGTAAATCACCCGGATAATAAGTGTCACTCTATGAGGCTTCTTGGAAGCCAGCCTGTGGGCCTTTTACAAGAGACCACCCTGATATTGCCAGTGACTTTTCTCTACTTGGAATTTCTAGGCCTTGACTTCAGATCTGTGAGTTATGGAATTTAGAATACCAGAAGCCTTTCCATGTCTTCTGTGAAAACCCCTATGAATTTCCATCTCTCATGATAAAAAGAGACCAGAGGTCATCCAACTCCATTGTCACATTATTTAAGAACACAGGCTCTAGTAAGTGATCTCAGAATTGTTAACCTTCTAAGCCACAGAATCTTTGAGAATAAAGTCTACTGGCATGGCCTTGGTGCCAGATATATGTGAAGCACACTTTGTAGATGGAAGAGGAGAGGACAGTTTAGTTAATACAAAATAAGTACTCTTCCTTCTAGAGACTGGGTGGTTATCTGTACCAAGAGAATGATCAGCTTTGAGGCAGAAATCTTTAAGTTAGAGACTTGAACATCTAGGAGAGATACAGCCAGTTAGACTTCTTTGAGGATCCTGCTCTTATGAGATTAGGAACTAAACAGAAAGGCCTCTGATGGGTCAATATACAATCCATGTACGGCAACTCATACACTATATTCAGAAGAGCCCCTTACCAGGTTACTTGTTGCTTTATATTAAACTATGCATGTGGGATATAACCAAGTAGGGAAAGGCCACCAGCAACATAATGATGATATTTGTTATCCTGATGACTGACCAGGGTCTGGACCTTAGCTTCTCAGGTTCAGAAATCTGGTTAAATCAATATATAGAGTAGATTTATCTATCAGGGCTAAACGCAGCTTAACCCCACTCACAAATTATGACAAACTATGAGAATGATGGCCTACAGTAAAAGAGAGATACTCAAAGATGTAGAAAAACAAAAACAAAAAACCCAAGAACTCAAGACACAGCTTTCTGCGACCATTTAGTGTGGAAACAAATAGTCTGATAGACCTCCATAGGTCCGACAAGCACGGGGCAATGACTGAGAGATCAAAGCAAGGGTAAAAGATGTCTAGTTGGTTTTAAGTCATGAAAGAATAACATCCACAATTAAAGCCAAGAGACCATCCTGATATCATCAGTGTCTGTTGGTATTTTAGGCCCAGTAGCTTACTAATAGAAGGAGCCCTGGTGGTACAGTGGTGAAGCACTCAGTTACGAACTGAAAGGTAGGTGGTTTGAATCCACCCAGAGGCTCTGCAAGAGAAAGATCTGGCAATCTGCTCCCATAAAGATCACAGCCAAGAAAACCCTATGGAGCAGTTCTACTCTGTCACATTGAGTCACCATGAGCTGGAATTGACTCTATGGCACCCATCAATAACAGCCTACTAATCTGTTCTCTTAAAGCTGGACTTAAGATTTATTCTCAATACTCGTTTCGGTCAACATTCCCCCCCCACCCCGGGCAAATACTGCTGGCCATCTTCTTTATCCTTGAAATCTCCTTTCTTTTCTTCTTGAATTCTCCTTTTTTGGGATTCCATGACTGCACACTCCAAGTTCTCCTCCATTGTCTTGGCTTCCATGACACATGGCCCAAGTTATTCAGTCTGATGCTCCTTTTCAATTTCCTTTGTAGGCCCCAAGTAAGACTTAGGAGGATGAAGTCAATAAACAGTAACTTACTTTCACTTTCAAGGTGGTACTTCCTCATCTATGATCCTTTGTTAATGGTATCCCTGTCCCTTAGGCAAGAAATTTCAGTCATTTCTAATGTCACTTTCTCATCCTGATATAAAATCCTTGAGGCCAAGTAGGACTTTCATACTTTGTATTATTTTAAATCTCTTATTACAGATACATGGTTAATTAAAATAAAATCTAATTTTATTGTCTTAACACAAGTTAAATTTGTTTATTGTAAAAACTGATATAGAAACTCACTGCCGTTGAGTTGGATCTGACTCAGCAACCCCTCCTTGGGTTTCTGAGGTGGTATCACTACGGAAGTAGATTGGCCGATCTTTCTTCTGAAGAGTGGCTGGTGGGTTTGAATCACCAGCCTTCTGGTTTTGCTGTCTAATATAGATGAACTTATTTTTGTTTCTTCTATTTGTTACATTTTTCCTTTTTCTTTCCTTTACTCTTGCTTTGTCAGGCTGATACCTTTCTCTCTTTTCTTCTTTCTAATAGCTTTTGTTATTATCCTTTTTGTCCCTTTACTGGTTTGTGTTATTTTATTTCTGTTCTTTTAGCAGTTTAAAATTTTAAAAATATAAGTTAGTCAACATTTCCTGTCTTCCTCC